CCCCGCGTCCGCCCGGCGGTCACCTCACGGGAACAAGAGCCAGGCTGGGGACCGCAGCGAGAGGGGGCTGGGGCTGGGGCTGTGCTCTGAGGACTGCAATATACAGTCCGTGCAAGCACCCAGCAAACGCTGCTGCGCTTACTGGGTTACTTACTAGATGACTATTCTCTGGGGAAACAGAACCAAAGAAAGTAAGTGTACGCGCGCGGGAGATGCAGGAAGGGGGGTCCTTGCCCGAAGTCGCAGAGGGACAGGGGCACCGCCTGGACCAGAACCCCGACGCCCTGCGGCCGCCAAGCAAGCGGCAGTGGAGGAGTCCGAGCGCCTCCAGCCTCAGCCCGACCTTGGACTGTTTCCCCCAAGTCTCCGCGCCCAGAGGGCAGGAGCCGGGCAGCGGGCGACGAGGTCGCCGGGGCTGGGAGCGGGTGCGGGGGAGGCGGGCCCCGCGGGACGTGACGCACCGAGCTGGGAGGGCCGGGGCGGGGCGGCGACGCAGGCTGCATATAAGGGCGGCGGGCGGGCGCCAAAGCCAGAGCAAGCTGCGTTTGCCCAGAGCTTGGGAGAGCCCGAGCCGAGCCGAGCTCAGCTTAGCCTAAGCCCAGCCCAAGTGGAACCGGAGCCCCAAGCCCGAGCCGCGCCCAGCCCGAGCAGAGCCCTCCGGCTGCTCACCCGCGCTCCACCCCAGCGACCCCCGGCGGCTCTCAGTCCTCTCGGCCCCGTGCCCGCCCTCGCGGCCCCTCTGCCCAATGAAACTGGCCGCGATGATCAAGAAGATGTGCCCGAGCGACTCGGAGCTGAGTATCCCCGCCAAGAACTGCTATCGCATGGTCATCCTCGGCTCGTCCAAGGTGGGCAAGACGGCCATCGTGTCGCGCTTCCTCACCGGCCGCTTCGAGGACGCCTACACACCAACTATCGAGGACTTCCACCGCAAGTTCTACTCCATCCGCGGTGAGGTGTACCAGCTCGACATCCTCGACACATCCGGCAACCACCCGTTCCCCGCCATGCGGCGCCTCTCCATCCTCACAGGTGAGCCGGGGGCCGGGCAGGCACGGGAGGGAAGGGCGGGCAACCCTCGGCCAGGGCACCCCGTGAGCGC